CCATAGGGGCTCTATTAAAGGGCCATTGGGGGGTCCTGGTAAGGAACCAAAAGGAATAGCCTTACTAAAGGCTCCTATATAGTACGAACCTCGGCTTGTCGGCATGACTCGAAGCGCTGCAGCTCCACTCGTCTAAGCACATAACTAATAATTAAAGATCCCCGGTGAATGAACCCTCTTACCTTGAAAGAAACTGCAACAAGGATCCTCACATGGCCCTGAGAGGGCGGGGGGGGGTTTAGCTGTCAGGCATCTACATCAATGAAAAAACAAGAAATGGAGCATCTCAGATCAACCCACCGTGTAGGAACCCTCATTTTATTAACTCTCTTATATCAACCCTTAGAAGAACAATTTTATAACATTCGGACCCATACAGCAGCAGACAGATATTGAACTCGAAAACCCCAAACTCTAACAATCATAGTAATATATGCTACTGACGAGCCCTAAACCTCTTACCGAATCCATGTACACGCAAACAAGAGATGGAGCCTCGAGGCTGCTTTGCTGCTCGCTTTCTTCGACACCGCCAGCGCGGCCTGCGACAGGTCGCGTAGTTCGCTCCGCGGGATCTGGGTTGAATCGCGTAAACTTCTAAATCCTAAACTCCAAAAAAACCTAAATCCTAAACCGTGTAGACTAGGGGTTGTGAGTTGGTTTAAGGGTCTAGGGTTTAGGGTTCTAGAAGAGGTTTTCTCAGATGGTTTTCGGGGCGTTGGGGGCCCGGGTTTTGGCTCACAGGCTTTTAGAATAGGCTGTGGGTTTAGAGTTTTTGTTTAAGTGTGTTTAGAGGGTTTAGGGGTTAGGTTTTAAGTTTTAGGGTGTAGGGTCCCATATAGGAGCTTCATGGCTTCAGGGATCAGGGTTCAGGGTTTTGAAACACAGTTTAGGGTTTAGAGTTCAGGGTTTAGGGTTCAGGGCTAAAGTTTAGGGTTTCGGGTTTTGGCGAGTTGAGTTGTGGGTGCGAGGGTTCGTAGGGCGTCACAGGGAGAGTATACCTTGTTTCATAGGGTTTGGCGCTTAAGCAGCCGATGTTGGGAGTTAGGGACTTCGGGGTTTTGGCTTATGAGTTATACGTGCTTCGGTTTAGGGATCAGAGATTTGGGGTTTCGGGCTTGGGGCTTTGACCGAATGGCTTTTGGGATCATGGGTGGCTGGAACTTTCCCGCTTGGTTTAGGGACCAGCACCGAGGGCTTTCCTAGCCCCCGGCCGCCCCTATTCGGCTTCAAGGTTTGGTCAGGGTTTAGCAGTTTAGCACCGTCATGAGCGTACTGTAAGTGGGTCGGCCAGTGCTTCCCGTCTTGTGGGTGCCAACACACGGACCTGTTCCCCCGGTCGGATTTGGGAGGAGTTGCAGAGCTGCTTCGTAGTGAGGTTGTACATCATGTTGTGCTCCCCCCGTGGTTTCTCATACAGTCATACAGGGGCCTGACTATACGGCGGGCCAGCCGGCGCTGTACGCCGTTCCCCCTTATCGGGTTTGTGCTCGACGGATTGAAATGAAACAGGTTCTGACCCGAGGCTAAATCTGGTTCATGTGTCATGATTGTGTATGAGTTGTGATGGATGTCTTCGAGCTTCGTCAAGCCGAGATTCCACGAGAGTAGACGTGAGTGAGAAGACCAGCTGCATTCTGCATTGTTTGCTTTAGCTGCAGGGGGGGCTCTTTTCAGAAGTCTGCACCAGGGGCCTTAAGATTGGTCGTTCACAACGTGCTGTGGTATGCCTTACGTGTTCGCTCTTTGCCCTGGCTACACGGATTTTGTCAACAAGAGAGAACGGACATGCAGTACCTCCGCAAAGAGCAGACAGGTGACCCAGAGGCCCTGGTGTGGGCATTGCTATTCCAGGCTAGGGTTTAGGATTTTAAAAAATTAGGGCTTCGGATTTATAGGGTTTATAGGGTTTAGGGTTTCGGATTTATAGGGCTTATGGGGTTTAGGGTTTCGGATTTAGGTCTACGGCGTAGAGCAAACAGGCTGTAGGGTTTAGGCAAGATGTGGATCATCTGAGGTTGGAAGCAGTTTACGGCTCACTCCTATAGGAAAACCAGGGTTCAAGGGAATCCTATGCAGCTCTGGGTGTCTTTTAGGAAAACTTATGAATCAAGCTCCTGTAGATATCACGAACTCCATGGGGCCACACTAGCGGACCTAAACCCTAAACCCTAAATCCTTAACCCAAAAAGTCGGCCCCTGTTGGCCTCTTGGTTGGCAGACTTGTTGTTGGGCTCCCTGGCAGTCGTCGCTTGTTGGGAGTCTTAGGAAGTTTACGGTTTAGGGCTTATGGTTCAGGGTTTAGGGTGGAGCTCGTGAGCCATACAAACCCCGAAACTGCACCTTTGGGAAGTCGTGAACCCCACACCCTAAAGTGTAAACCATGAAATCCTAAACTCTCAAACCCAAAGCCCCAAACTCCTAAACCCCAAAACCACTATAACTCCTCAATCTTGAATCCAACGTGCTGAACACATGGAACTCGACTTCCTGCTTAACGGCTCCGGGCTGCAAAAATCTTTGCCTTCTGCTTAACCGCTTCTTCAAACTAACTGCCCAATGGGATCCTGACAATCATTAGTTTAAACATTACGGCCCCTGTGTTCGCCCACTCTTCACGCCTACCAAACCTCTAACTGGTAGCCCTAAACCCTACTAAGCCCTGAACCCTAAACCCTAAACCCCAAACCCTAAACCCGAAGGTATCGAGCCCCACCGAATTTGCAGGATCCAGGGCTCGACATTTTTACATTCGACCGTACATAGTGGGTTTAGGGTTTAGGGTTGAGGGTTTGGGGTAGTACTGGTATGACTCTTGGCCATGGACTGCACTTCCGGCAATAATTCCCAATACTGTTGTCATGCATACGACTGATCAGTACAACTGCTATCGTGGTTCCACCAGTCGTCGCACCCTTGAGCAGGCTGTAAGTAGGACTTAGAATCCTAAGCACGTGAAACGAGCTAGGCAACGAGTCAAACAAGGGTACTATAGGCGCCTTGAGTACTTATAAACTTGGGGGTATAGTATACGACCATTATAATAGGAAGCCCCAAAATAGTCCGGTAATTTTCGGACCCTGGACCCTGAACCGCTAAACCATATAGCCGCCCCTAAACCCAAAACCCGTAAACCCTAAAAGCTAAAGCGGCTACAACCTTACTCTCTAAAACCACCCAGCACCACCATAGAGCCTAAACCCCTGAAGCCCCAACA